TTCCAATGTATTTTGAACAATACTAAACATAAACTTCCCGGTCATTTGGAGAGAAAGTAAAGCGCAAATTCGGCCCCACGTGGAGTCTCTCTTTGGGCGGAAGCTTCCCAGTACCTTCCACTTGCATTCAACGTATCCACAGACTGTATTCATCGACTAATCGTCGACGACTAATCCCTTTCCGAGATGGTTGATCCCTTGGCGTTGCGTAGAGATGTGAGGTCACTATGCATCTTCCGCATTTATCATGGTGAGTTTTCAGAGTTGTTCGGATTATCTACAGAGTTTCATTATCGGACGTCGAGGCAGAATACGAAATTCCGTCGTGCGTCCTGCTACAACTGAGCGTTTCTTATGGCAGTTTTTGCCCACCATCATTGTGTCGACCCAGATGGCTACTGAAGTATTTCCGAACTGATTCGACTTAGGGTCCTTCAAGAAAACAACGTACCAATTATCGTGTGTCGCATTGAGTGTCCATGGGCGGCGGTATCACATCAGGTGAGCCTCCTGTCGGTTTGCCCCTTGTCCTATATATTATATAAAAAAAAACTTTTATTAATTTGACTTTTATAGAGCTGAAATTAGTGATGCGCTGCGTAATTCACCAAGCCTAGGTTCGAATATGTACTACTTTAACACCAGATGACCGCTAGATAAAGTCAAGTAGGAATATAGAAATCTTAAATTTCAGTAACTAGACTTAGGTGCTATTTCACCTATTCATTTATATCTTCGGAAACCTATTTATGTAATAATGTAATATTTAATGTAATTTGTTAACCTAATGCAACAGTTTGTCGCATTTTCGCCTCCGCTAATTTTAGAGTTCCTACCAATCGTACAAAAATCTGTTCGGTAGTTTATTACATACGCGGCCAAGGACTTCAATTTAAAATTCAAAACTCTCGTTTAACATAAATTAATCAATAAAGCATTTATAAATTTGATTTGCTCCAGTTAGGTGAAGAGTGACGGAGAGTTCGAAACTGGAAAATTTACAACCAATTTACTATTTGTCAACGTTCATAAGACATTGTTACCTATATGAATAATTTTATTGTTATTTTAGAGATTGAGTTTAACGAGTACGAGTAGTATAAAATAGCCTAGTACGGTTATTAACCGAGTATCGTATACGCGGTGCATCTCTAGTAGTAACACTACACGTGGGGCGCCACATCAAAGTCCAATCGAAATGTAAGTCACGTAGTAACAATAGTATCGACAAACGCCCAGTTAGCTGCATTCTGATCGTATCTTATTATGATTCACGATGCTTCCTCCCGATTAAATACTTCTCTATATAATTGCTACAGTTTAAAAACTTTTATGGCTTTGCTCTACTGAATGAATTTTAAACTATGGGGCTGCAATTAACGGAATTTCCGATGGACTTGTTGGACAGAATCGTACCTCAAAAGTCATGGACTCGTTCACAATTTTTTAAGCCGCTATTCCTCCACATATTATTTACATAAATACAAAAATAGATTAGAAATTAATTATATAGAAATTAATTACTCTAAGACTCCAACTTTTTCCCTATTTTATATTTTGCCGTTATGAGCAGTGTTCGCCTTGTGCCTTCAGCGTGCGACTCTCATCCCTGAGGTCATGGATTCGATCATCGGCTGTGCACCAATGGACTTATTTTCTATGTGTGCATTTAACATTCGCTCGAACGGAAGGAAAACATCTAAAACCGCCTTGCCTTAGACCCAAAAAGTCGAGTCAGACACATAGAAATTCCATTGGTGCACAGCTGGCGATCGAACCACCTTAGTGAAGAGAGTCGCACGCTGAATTCACTTAGCCAACACTGCTTGTACTAGCCAAGGCTGTAAATTTTGCTAACTCAGGCTTTCTTAGTTTTATAAGCTTGGCGATTTCCTAAATCGTCGGAGTTACGACCCGAGAGTATTGCCAGACGTAGGCACTCTCTTCGACTGTTACATTGCATTCATTCGTTACATAGCAATTAAAATTTAATTATTTAGCTTACATTCTATCATTGTACGCGAGTGCTTAATATAGAGTAAAACTAAAATCCTTATTTAAAGTACCCCCATGACCCAGGAACCGTACACTGCTGGAACAAGTTACCTACAATAATCGTAGGAATGTTTTTGCAGAGTTATAAATGATTATTTGTCTTGATTTAAATATCTGGTTTATGAAACCTTCAGTTGCATTATAGCGATGCATTAATTGTATTGATTGTTAAGACCTTGGCATACATTGGCTAGGCTTATAGGAGTGAGTTGTACCAATGGAATAATTTTATGTCTTCAACTGTGATAAGGGGACAGACAAACGAAGTGATAACGTCCATAGACACTCTCACTATTAGAGGACAAGCAAGCGCGTTGCCTTTTACGAATTAGTACTGTTCTTGAAGGCCCTAAGTCGAATTGGTTAGGAAATACCGCTGGGCAGCTGGTTTCACATAGTGGTAGTGCGCGGCAAATTGCCTTAAAAAACGCTCGAAAACGGACGTCGTGGTGATACGGGTGGAACTTCGGCCTCGACGTCTGATGAAACTCAGTTACAGCAGTTCTGAATACATGTGGTAAATGCGGTAGAAGATGCCAGTGATCCCACATCTCTATGCAACGCCAAGGGATAGGATTGGTCGTTGGATGATATAACGCCCTGGAGTAACATGGAGTCCCTGAACAAATTCTAGGGAGACCTGTACATCAGTGTACTCCGCTATTCCAACGGCTTAATGAAATGAAATTCAATCCTGGGTTCGCTATCCAGTGATTTTAATTATTGTATTCGTGATAATTCTATTGTTTATTTGTCTATCAATGAATCAGCAACAAGCAACAAAAGTGCTGCGTCATTTTAATTAATTTGCGATACATGTTTTTGCTTGCTTAATACTAAGTTTAATTGAAATGTTTTTGTATATGTGAAAAGTGACCTCATAAAATCTAAATTCAATTACACGGTTATAACTTCATCTATCACTGTTCATCACAGCGTAAACACAGTCGGAAAGAGACGAGTAAAAGAGTGCATTATTTCACTTGATAAATATGGGTTAAAAGTTATAGTCAACATAGTGTTATAGTATCAAAGTTAACTGTTACATATAGTAAATTATAAGTTAATTGTAGACTGGAGGTATATACATATATCCAATGCTAAAATGACGACCGTTGGTCTGGTTTTAACTGTAGTAGAAATAGACCTTACATTTAATACTATCGAAACACACAAATTAATAATAATCAATAGAGAAAAATTATAAAAGAATAGTGTGTAATGGGTGTGTGTGTTGTGGTTGAAACTGGCCCTGGCTCAGCTTTGGAGCAGACGTGTTCCACAGCGCTGGTCATTCTGCCAGAGACCACAACAGTTAGTTTGCGGCTCAGACGCAAAAAAAAGAAAAATAATGTTACAATAATAATAAAATTAAGTCGGTTACATTCAGACTTAAGGGAGTTAAGTTATTACGTAATTAGCTAACTTAACATCTAACAGTGATCGTATCAATATTAAAATTATATATTTTAAAGAAACGGATTGCCTTGGTATATATATTTATATTCTGGCTCCTAGTTTTATCCACAAGAAAGTGTTATCCAAAATGGCCTGAACTGTTTGTAGGAAAGGTTGACCTTGCCGCTTTTTTGCTCGACTTGGCAGGGTACACCCGTGACCCCAGATAAAGAAACTCTTTTATGAGTAACGCCATTTTCAAAGTGTCTTAAATTAATGACGTAAGATAAACAATGTACTGCACTTATTATTTGGTAATTTATACATGTATCTTGAAATATATAGCTTGCGTTTGTGTGCAAACATAGAGAGCTTTAATATTTAAATGTGAAAGTACATTTAATTAAGTTCTCATGATTAAAATTCTAAATGTGGATTATTTTATGTAACCACGATAAAATGCGGTCAAAATGCCAACCAGAAAACACGGTATGATGACTTGTTTCAGAATTTCTGTTTTATTCAAATATTGAACATACAAAACGAGTACATAAAAAAGAGTTGTATGTTAAATTATTGTTCTTAATATATTCCATAACAAAGACTATGATAAGGGCGTGGAAAGATTTTATCGCCTTATCAGTTATCACACAATGATCTTATTTATATGCACTTATATTTGACATTTCAATGACATTCAGGCGCAGGCTCGGCTTGGTCAAAAAATTTTTTTGTTTAGTATTGTGTTTTATTGACATAACTTTTAGAAAACTGACTAATTAACTTTTGTAAAATAATTGTAAATTTATAATAAAACATAACTTCAGATCCGTTAAAAAAGTGTTTTTCTATTTAAATTTTTTGTTTGTTTAAGAAGTGTGTCAGGCAAAGTAGAAATAGGCTCCTTGCCTACTTGTATAGTTCTCTATAATCAAAATTCATTGACTTTCTCACTAGATACTTTGTGATTCAAAATACTAACTAAAATTCAATAAAATTCAAGTCTTTATTATAAAAATAATTCACTCATGTTTGCATGTGGTTTAACAAAACAACAGTACAGTGCATTTATAACTGTACACCACAATGAATAAACTAGTCCAAGATTTTATAAACAATAAAATAGATTATATTGATTTAAAAACCACAGATGCTTATTTCTATTGTAATGTAGAAACTAAAAATCGTTTACCATCAACGGCAATCAAAGAGCGATCATGTGTTCACGTGTGGCTTTTTTTTATGTAATAGGAGGCAAACGGGCAGGAGGCTCACCTGATGTTAAGTCATACCGCCCATGGACACTTACATTGCCAGAAGGCTCGCAAGTGCGTTGCTGGCCTTTCAAGAATTGGTACGCTCTTTTCTTGAAGGACCCTAACCCTAAGTCGAATTGGTCCGGAAATACTTCAGTGGGCAGCTGGTTCCTCATAGTGGTGGTGCGTGGCAAAAACTGCCTTAGAAAACGATCAGTAGTGGAACTACAGACGTCGAGGTGATACGGATGGTTTTTTGTGGTTTTTAATAACAGCCTCTGTTCCTTAAATCTACTTCCGATTCTTATCCACATCGTCGAAGGAAATCTTCTGCAACACTTTCATCACCTCAATACGAGCTTCGAGCTTCCGTCGATCCGAGAGCTTCCTAAACATCGGTATCAGAGACATGACAAACTGCCTATCATCATCATCTTCATCTCTGTCTTTCTTTTTACTCTCCAATACATCACTCTTTTCCTCTTCATACGCTTCTGGCACTATACTTACTTCCTGGGTATCTGTAAAGGCGAAATCTATGTCTTGTGTCTCGTATTGAGCTTCTAAAGGATCGCTATCATCGTCGCTGTACTTGATTTCCACGTCGTTTGTATCACCACCAAGAAAACTGAGATCGTTGAAGTATCCATATCTTTTTCTTTTTCTTATTGCTATAGAGTTCTCAACTTTAAATCGTTCCCTGCGTTGTAGTTTCAGTTCTCTCGTGTAACATGTCCGGAGGCTTTTCCAACGCTTCTGGATGTCGCGAACTGCAAAGAAAAGTTCTGTAAGTTTTCAGACGGAAAAGCGAAACTTGTTTCACAGACTTGACTTATTAAAGCCCGACACAATCAAATATATAGAACATATACATTTTATTTATTTAAAAATAAGCTACTATGACACATACTCCAAGGCGGTATTATAATTTTTTTTGTCCTATTTTTGTATCAGATCACAATTGTGCTCCTATTTCGACAGAGGACAAATCGTTGTTTTTAATTTATTTTATTATTATTTATTACTTAAGATGTCATGTGGAACATGGTGTAATGGTTGCAGCTCTTTACAAACGTTGTGTAAAAGAAAAAACTTGGCGATTAAAAAGAGTGGCGGAGAGTTTATTGCCAGTTCTTCTCTTCCGTTCTACGCCCTTGATTTGAGAACTGGCAGTATATGTCAAATTAGACGCATTTAATGTACATATTTCTTTTTTGACGTTCAATAGTGTACATTGTGTTACCTATATGTATAAATGATTTTGACTTTTGAATTATGGTACATGAAAACATTCTTATATTATATATATATACAACATCACACAACACGAATTAAGTATTACTTAGTTAAATGTATTTAATAATTTGTATTGATTTTTTTCCTAATTAAATATATATATTAAGAATTCCATTTTGGGCTAAGTATAATAGTTTTTGGTATATACAATTCATGTTAGCTGTACGAAAAAATAAATAAAGAAGAAAGCGAACTAAGCAGGCGAAGGCTTCCAAGGATTATACAGGATGACATTAGTTTATAGCGTCATAAAAGTAGATTTAAATCAATTTAACACGAGTTTATTGTAAAACATAAAACTACCTGCCAAGTATTTTTCTATGAACTAACATAAGTGCTATTTTATAGACTGGCGTGGTTTGAATGTCATAAATTGTGGGATTTTGACGACTTCCAAAAAAAGTACTACTTTCTAGTGCGTGGGTCGGTTGTTTACGGTTTTTTCTATTTCCTCAACTGAGATTGAGCGATTCTCAACCTTAGGTCGTCTTTGGCTGTGCAAAGGTTAAACTATGACCGTATGAAAATCATATACGCTTCGGAAATATAAAAAAGAATTAAGAAGCCACTTGCGAGTCCTCTGTCGTTGAGAGTGTCCAACTACGGTATCACTTAACATCAGTAAGAGCCTCCTGCCCGTATGCCCCCTGTTTTATAAAATACCGGAATCATTTTTCACGGGGAGCTGAACAGAGCTTTAATTCTAGCCAAGCTCTATCGCAAGGTAGATGAATGAAATTATCGATAAAATCATTTGTATTTGAACACAAATACCGGTAAACTCTGACGATTTTTTGTCAGTCAAGATCGGCTAAGTTTAATTTAAATTCTGCCAAAACGGTAATATACACGGCGTAACACGTTTATTGCTATACGTATAAACCACAAAAATATCGGTCAGTGAACTCTAGACCATTCGTTTTAATACGTCGTATTCATTTCAATAATACTTGAAATATGAAGTATTTCAAGTATTATTGACTGTTGAGTATAGACTGTTTTTTTTAAAGTTTTTAACATTATTTCATTACTTTGAAACGCAAACATACATATTTAATTATTTATATAAACTTGAAATATTATTGTTGACGCATATACAGTACATATTTACAATATTCTTAACTACACAGTAATAATAATTATACAAAAATAATAATAAATAGAAATTTAAAACAATTTTTTAAAATTTGGTCACTGTGTGCTGTGTACCTAAATCTCTCTGCTCGCAATTCCTCGTTGTATTGCAATACTTATTCATTAAGAGAGAACCAGCTCTAGGGTCACCGGTACAATCAGGTGCCAGCTTAAATCTTTCATGAGCGCTTGTGCACTTGAACCCCGCGGCCCAAAAGTCTACTCCAAGGGGAAAAAAATCAAAGGTGGAGGAAATAAATTTTCGCCGAATATTGTATTGTTAAATCAGTAGACTCTATCAAATACGTTTAGTAATCATTCTATGTAACGAACATACAAAAAAAAAGTACTGTTGCATAATGTAATATCGGTAAAACTTAGTAGTTTAAATCTTGTATATTTTAAATGGCCTAAACCGATTGAAGTACCAATGATTATATACTTTTAGTATTCCAACGTTAATTTTCATCAATAAATACTTATTTTGGCACACACGACATTTAGGTAACACACGTTCTTGGAAACGTAAATAGGTCATTATTTTTTTATTATTTCCAGCAAAACACCACTTAAAACCAGTGAACAACTTATTTTAATAGATCTCGCGACATCGTAAACAAGTCGGTCAACTCACCGGCTTCAACTCGTTCGACTGGCTTCAATTCGTCCCAGCTGGTGTGAACTTCCATACAAACTTCTCGCCACAACCTATCCTTATGTTTCCTATGACTGTACATAGGATCATTTTTCGTATACAACGCTGGTCTACTTTTGATAGATTTTATTAATTTAATCGGGTTAATTTCAAACATAATCGCGCGACAAATCGACGTGCAGTTGTCGCTGTGAACGACCGGTTACTGATTACAAAATGGCGGCTGCGTGCGACCCTCGCCGCGCAACGATCGCGCCGCATTCGTCGCCATTTTGTTGCGTCATGTTGCGATTGCCAACGTATCGCTTTGTTCACTAATCACATAATCGCTGTCGTTATAACGTTTTCTAGAATATTTCTGTTGTACATTTATTGCGCGTGCAAAATCTAGTATGATAAGATTGTAGTTTCGTCGATTTAATTATTTCTTTTTGTTTCAGTGGAAATCGAGATGGTGTGTCATGCGAAAATTGTCTCCAGTTGCAGGTATGTTTATTTACTAGGTTATAAACGTTCGGTTTTCAAAATATCACGATTCGAATTTCAAAAGTGAAGTAAGAACTTTTTGTAGAATAGATAATTAATGTATCAACATGCAACTTACAAACACATCTTGTCTATTATTTATCATCTGTATGTAACATAGACAATAGATAATTTATATCGAATGACTTTCTGTGGTTAATACAAAGTCGTACTTCAACTCGATAACACATATAAATTCATAGTATTTAAAGCAAGAAATATGATGTCACTATTCTCAGAACTTTCAAGGTAATCTTCTATGCTCTATTACCATTCTTATCGCTTATGGTTTTTTAGTATCTGCATATTTATTATAATCTAGAAATATATTTTCATATAGATATGGTTTCTCCCTTATTTATAAAGTTGACCACAGACTGAATATATTGTATAAAAAAATACAGATAAAATATCGTCGAATCAATTTTTTTTAATTCATATAACGCATGTTTATAGTATAATCTATTTATAAAATATCAAACTATAAACATAGACATAATTTAACTATTTTGGAAATAAATAGTCTATTTTTGAAATCTAGTTATTAAGTTTATTAATTACAGATCCTATACAAATCTTAGTCAATCATTATTACACATATGTATACCTAGAAACGTTTGGCGCCACTTTTTTCATTAATGAATTCTATTATTATTATAATTACAAGTAAGCAATTAACAATACACAATAAGTTATTATCATTAAATGAACCTAGTACAAAAAGTATTTTTATAATTATCATTGACATAGACATAACATTTATTACTAACAAAACACACACACAGAAACACACAAAATAACAATAATTAAAAAATAAAAATAATGAGAGATAACCATTTTTTTTCTTTTAGAAGATCCAGGTACGTTTTAAGTGTGTAATGTGTGTGTGTTGCGGTTGTAATTGGCCGCATTATGCTGAGGAGCAGACTGTTCCACAGCGCTGGTCATTCTACCAGACCACAGCAGCTAGTTTGCGCCTCAGTCGCAAAAAAATATAAGAATGTAATAATAATACTTAGTAGAAAAAATAATATAAGTTAAAGTTAGCAGTGAAAGTAATGAAGTCTTGTGTAAAAGTATATATATTATATATATATAGTAAAATAAAAAATATATTATAATTATCTGCATTACCTTTCATTGTATAGACGAATATATAACTATGGTCTGCGACCTAAAGAGTGATTTGGCCTCTGAAATGAAAACTTCCAGCGCTTCCAGTCCTGTGCCCCCTCCCACCAAGTGCTGGCCTTCAGCTGCAGCACTCTCCCACTCTATTGATCCAGCTGTACCTAAACATACCACTCTCTCCACTCTCTTAGTGGTCTCTGACCACTAAGCCAACGAAGATGAATAGAAAATACATTATAACATAATCTATAATTCACTTACATATATGTACGTTCCTGAAAATGAGTGGGGAGTTCAGGATATATATATATACTAGTAGACTCGGCCAAGCGTTGCTCTGGCTAAGATTTGTCATAGTAGAAACTATCAGAAAGGTGGAATATATGACAATTAAACTTGATAATTTTAAACACTAGAATGTATCATAATACATATTTGAATAAATTAAAATTGATATAATTTGAGATTTAAATTCCTATCTCTCAAGTTGGATCGACTGCACAGGTGTGAAATTGATGATATCGTTCGGTAGTTTAGGAGTCATTGAGGACAAACATTGTGACACGAGATTTTATAGTCAACGTAAAATTGTAAAAACCGTTAGATTGTAATCTATCTCGCGGATTGTAATTCGAAAAATTTAATCAAATCTTACAATTAAGTATTATTATTCGTAGATTGTAATCTATCAAGTGAATCATTAAAACTACACTCCGCTGATTGGTTGAAATTATCCACTATTGGTGGAAGGGTATCCATGAGGACATATTTGTTATTAATTCGTTGTTGTCGAATGTAAAAAGGTTTTGTAAATTAAATTATTCGTCTTGAAATAATATTTTAGATGTTGAAAGTGAATGAAAGTTTTGAAATTGTTGTGGAAGTAAAATTATTTGATGACAAAAGTGATTTGAATGATAATTAAGTTAGTGTTGGTCTCAAAAGTTTTATAATTTTCCTGTTTTAATATTTTTATTTGCGTGATTTTTACCTTTGTGATCTCGTATTTAAATTCATCAAAAAACTCAGAAATATTAGATATTTTAATAAGGAAGAATTTACCATAGAGTTACAAAATATTAAGCGGGATATGAAAATAGTAAAAAATGTAATTCCAAAAAATAAAAAGAAAGTGAAATGTTCTTTGTAACTCCAGGTGCCACAACTCGTTCAGTCAACAATAATGGAAATTTTTTTGGTGCAATTTACTTACTTATTTTTATATAATAGACAATTTGTTATGTTTTCAAAACGTTATATTTTTCGATTTGTTTTTTTAAATTTTGATTTTATTTTGTGATCGTTTTTCTAAAAGAAAATTTCGTTAATTTTTCAATTTTAAGAGAAAATGTTTGAAGAGAAAATATTGTTACGTTTCTGATTTTTTATTTTGATATATTTTTTTCATCATGTGATGTCAGAATATTGATTACCTATAAGTAATAAATATAATTTTAAGTGCATTCTTTTATTTACCAATACCTTGTTTCATTCCTAACCAGGACAATAACGGTCTACTATAAAGCCGACCAATAGCGCGTGAGGTGCGTACCGTTTCCAATTTGACGATTTCACTTCGATAGATTATAATCTACCGAATCAATAATACGTTAAATTGTAAGCAGTACGTTGAGTTCACAATCTTTCGAAGTTTATAATCTCGCGAGATAGATTACAATCTAACGGTTTTACAATTTTACGTTAACATATATATTAAGATATCAATGGTGCTACAACCTTTAAGGCCTGGGCCTCAGATTTCTATATGAGAAGTATGTAAGTAGCGCAAATAGACGGGAAAGCCATTGCGCTTTCCCGTCTATTTGCGCTACCGTTTGCGCTAGCCGTTCAAAACCACCAGGTGCGCACGCTAACTCTTAGTATGCTATAAAATTTAGCTATTTTTTTAGATAGATATTTCTTTCATAATTTAAGTCTAAGTGTCCAAAGCGACAAAGACCTTGTTCCTCCAATTGGCAACAATGACAGTGTTGCAATAATCAATTACAAATTTCTCAGTATTCTCCAAGCTAAGAATAATTTCGAGAGTCTAGTGACATCAGCGTAAAGCTATTGCTTTACTCACTGTGTTATTGAAACTGGATACACTCTTTGATCATTTACGTTCTGTCAGATTTTTAATGGTATTTCCCAGTAGAAGTCTGTGCCAATAGATAAAAATTTTGGTAAGTAATCGTCATGGCGGACTACAAAATATCATCTTGAGCTTTTTAAAGGCAGATTTTGCCGCGCACCACCACTGTGTGGAACCATCTGCCCATCTGCCAATTCCACTTAGGGTCCTTCAAGAAAAGAATGTACCAATTCTTAAAAGGCTGGCAACGCACTTGCGAGAATTCTGGCAATGTGAGCGTCCATGGGCGGCGGTATCACTTAACATCAGGTGAGCCTCCTGCCCGTTTGCCTCCTATTACATAAAAAAAATACACTTCACTTGATTTGAGGCCGCAGATACCTTCCTAGTTATTTTGACAACCATAGTTTGACAGCATCTAATTCTTAATATATATACAAAAAATTATGAATGACTTCAATCCTTGTTGTGCACAGACTATAAGTTTACGTTGACGTATTTTCCATATAGTCTATGTAATAGCTAATATGTTTTTAGCAAATCGCACAGTGTGTAAGTCACAAAAGGTGTTTACTATTTTGATACTTGAATAAATCTCTCAGCGCTTGTTTGTTTTCGTATGAATTTTATTTTATTTATCTTGTGTTCGCGGTAATAGGCATCCGTTAGTGATTTATAGAAACGCTCTCGTTTTATTCGGATAATTTAAGATTTATTCACTAAGTTTACAGACTTGCTAGTCTGAAGTTTAGAACTTTAAAGTACTTCTTTAAAATATAAATTCTGCATCCATAACTTAAATTCTAGATTCTGTCTTATGTTTTATCACGAATTCCGTCACAAGTCTAAATTAATCAAATTTGGTTCAGTAATTACTGAGATACCCACGTATTTCGCATCACGCCCTTCCACTTGACCATATTCATCGAAGAGCGGTTCGAATCGTCAACAACCCACTTTCAATGCAGCTTGTTATGTGGTCCCCAACTGTATTATTAATATTTCAATAATTGTTATTTACCTAATTATTATTTCTTTACCTTATATAAGGTTAACCATTTGTTTACGTAGTGATAAGTTATAATTAATTACTTAATGACATTGTTTGTTCCTCTAATGTATCCCTACTCCCCAAACCTTTAAATATCAAATCCCGATCCTTTTAAATCCTTTTTCCTTGTATTCCATATTCCAACTCCAACGTTAGTTTGTTGTAAACATAATTTTAAATAAAGTCTTTGTTAGTTTTTAAAAAACAAGTTTTAGTCACTGCCTCATAACAAGCGTCATCCCTTGGCGTTGCGCAGAGATGTAGGTTCTTTCTGCATCTTCTACCGCATTTACCATGGAGAGTGTTCAGAGGAGTTGTTCGGGTTAATACCTGCAGCTGAGTGTCATTATCGGAC